GTCATGCTTGCATTCGTCCGATGGCTGATTGCAAATGCTCGCTTTCCCGTGGAATCGGAAAACCAGAACGGGAAGCAAGAACGCTTAGACTTTCCCATTTCCGTTGTGACGGAACTGGCAAACACGCTAATCGAATCCGAGCTCTATCCGGTCTTATCTATTTGGGTCAAATTGAACAGGTGAGTACAGTTGGGTCGATGCCTAACATGACAGAGCTTACTTATGTCCATTTCCCATGAGGAGTTGAGAACGTTGTCTACCCTGGTTGCGTTCTTTGACTGAGATTTGTGAACTATACGTCAATCAGATAACGATGCTTTCAAATCCCCAAAAATGGAGCTACGCTTTCTGCTTGGATTATGTTTGTTAGTGCGCAATTGTTGGCGCAGATTATCTCTTTGCGTTTGCAAACTTTTCTTCCTCACGCTTAGTGGAACATAAGAAAACGGAGTAGCTTTCACCTCCCATTCTCATTAATCCATGCCGATTAATGCTTGCCTAAATATCCCAGTAGGATTGAAGGAACTATAAGGAAAACGAGCAACATCCAACGTTATTAGTCCCGGGTTTTATTTTAGAAGACATTCTATTGTCCAATCAATTAGGCACCTATTCCTATATGCCCATATCTGAGTTCAACATTACGTAGTCGAACAGACGAACAATGAGATTGTATTGTATTGTGTGTCGTCATTTATGCAAGCACTGGAACTTACAGTTCAGGTTACAAAAAATGAATACAGACCAATCAAGGTCACTCAGAGAACATACTTAACGGGGAAAAAGTGTTTACAGACAGCATAGGGTAGGCCAAAATTCACTTTTTACCCTCTCTCTGTTTGCGCGTCAAAGAGCAAGATAAGGTTATGGCTCGATTTCGGCAAGCGTCTACACGAGATGAAATTTGGTGGAATTGAGAGCGTGTGCCACGTGTCTGTTCTGCGTGCAACGGGGTGATCAGGATATGTTTTGCACAGGAAGTTGTATGATACTCGGAAGATTTCACAGTGAATTGGTTCACAGGAATAGAAGAATGGAGGAGAGTACATTGTTCTTCCTCATCCTCATCCTTCTCTTTGTAAATCAGTCAACGTCAAAGGCGAATGAACACTGTTCGTATTTAACGATTAGCTCAACTTTCACCAAATAGTTTTATCTGCCAGTAGTAGTATCTTATATCTATAAATATGGATTCGCACATTTTCCCCGGTATCTTAATACCGAACAAAGAAACTATAGTATTCAAGTAGGCTCAACAAACGATCATGTGTTCCATTATCAACATACAGTTCACAAGATGCGTCCCACGTGACCTTTTAACTCCTTTACTCATGTGGATGTCGTTTTGTCCCGTTTAAGTAGATGAATAAGCACGCACTGAACTAAGCAGTGCGTTTATTGTAGTAGGCACACATGTAGCCGGTCCGTGGATCGTTGAGCTAGCAGAAGAGGGTAACACGTAGGAATACAGGTAGACAGGCAGGTAGACAGACAGACCGAAAAACGGCTCAACATCACACGACATCCGAGTGCGGTCAAGCAGGCATTCACACAGTCAACGAATCAATCCGCCTGGACGGCGTTTCAGTAATAATACCTGATCGGCTGGAACCGATCGATATGGTGATAAAGTTAGTCCGAATGACGTGAGTGCGTGCGTGTGTGCTAGTAGACAGCATCTGTCAATTGATCGATTAAGCATTCAGTCGATCCGGCCACAGACATGCATAACAAATGCATCAATCAATTGGAAGCTATAACAGGTGGAGTTCTCTTCGGTACTTAGAGGGTTCTAACTCTCGAAATGGCTGAATCCGGTGCTATTTCTCTCCAGGTTGTCTAGTACTGATGGAAACGCTCTTTTTTAACCTCTTGATACATTGTCCACGGTATTGTAAATTCACATGATAATCCCTGTTACACATCGATTCCAGTCAGTCCCGCTTTTGTTCCATGACTGCCACTCATCCCATACTAACTTTCGCCACCACGATGTAATTTGAGCCACTAGTCCCATCAGTATTCAAGATATGAAAGCATGATGAATTTCCTGGTTGCTCTCGTAAACTGACTTTGAAATAATTAACGAATTTTCTATCGAATGTACGGGTAACTAGTTAATCTTCCGATCAACAGAGAGAGTTTTACCGGAGCTGTTGGCAACTTCTTTGCCCACAAAGCCGCTAACGAAACGGGCTCCGCCAGACTGCGACTTCTCGATGTGGCCAGTTACATTTTTGATCGGTCCGCTGACCTGCTCATTCAGCATCTTCGTCGAACGAATCGGAAAAGCATCATCACACCGGAACAACGTCGACACGATCGACGCCAGTTGACACATGTTCAACTGGAAGCTATCCGTACCGCAGTCCTCTTGTCCAAGCCCTTTACTGCACTGGAAATGGTGACCAAATGGGGACTGTTATCGAGTAAGTGACAAATTCATGTCTATCACAATCCAAAAATTCTTTAATATTCTTCTGATGCAAAATATTTAACAAAACTGAATGATGCTCATATTGCGAACGCATCCACGTCTCGAGCGACAGATAAGGTAATGAAAAAGGATGTTTGCTCGAACTGGATGGATTTTTATTGCTCACACTCAGGTACCAACAGGAAAATCGGGGGTGAATCAAATTCAAAATAAGATAACTTGATCAATTTTGAACCACTCTGTCTCGTTCTTCTTCGGCCTGAGTTGGTGTGATTTTTTAACTGCATTATATATGGACAGACAAACAAACGCAATGTCTTTGTTCCTCTGGGACACACGAGTGTATTGTGCACTCATAATTATATAATAATTAGTAAATATTTAGAAACTAGGTTCATATTCCAATATTCCATGAAACACATAATCATGAAGAGACACAAAAAAATATGGAAAGGCTGTTTCATTCGTGTCATGAATTATCAGCAGTGTACATGCCCATCGTTACTAACCATGACTTCATTGTGCATGATGCTAGATCAAATAATTTATCACTATCCGAAATTAATCCGTCGGTTGATTTCACAGTACCATTGTGTAACATGGCACCCTCCGATTTGTCCCGTTGGACACTTTTTATCACCATACAATGCGATCACTCCGTTGTTTCACATCGTCTCATCCCTCTCACTCGTGGCCTAAACAAGTAAATTCCCTCTGGCCCTCTCTGTGATCTGCTTGAATCATACTAAGAGATCTGCGGCACTTGGAATCATCCCTCACCTCTATATGACACTGTCTCTGATTAGCGGCTTGTACGTTTCGTAATTCCCTTGTTGTCACATTCAGCTCATCCGTGTACAATGACACACCTGCTGTACAGTCGAAGTTCACTGGGCCTGTCTAAGACTCACGACTGTAAACAAGGTGTGTCCTCTCGCTTGGGTTAGCTGGGTAAGCACCAGGTCCCTTATTGCGGCTGAACCATCCGACCGACCGATAAATGAACCTGATCGGTCGTGTGATTTTCGGGCCGACACAGAAGGCGGATAGGTTCCGAATCCGATACTGTCTCAGTGTTGGTAGAGAATCCGTTGTGGAGCGGTGCAACATCGAGAAAATTCAGAATGGAAAATGCTCAAGCGATTATGACACTGGGTCAACGTTTGACTCGTCTAAAATACACGCACCATTTTTTGAGGTGGGTTCGGTAAACAGATAATCATAATATAACTTTGAACTTGCCTTATGTACGGACTACAATATCCCCTAATGTAGGCTCACACAAAACTTTTCTTGTTTTTTCCCAACTGGCTGTTTTCGCATAGAACGATGTTGCTAACTACGTCGGAGATAGAATTCCGAAAGAAAGAGAGAAACATTATGGAAAAATGCATATTTATTTTATAAAAGTTGTTCAATATGTTTTCCATTCTGCTGCTTGCATAGGAAAATCCGACGAAGATAGTTTTCTTCCACCTTCACAATGGTAGCAGTTGGAATACTTTCGCACCGCGCCACAATACTGTGTTTAAGCTCCTCGATCGTTCTCGGTTTCCGGGAATAACGGATGAGCTGCATGTGACAACAAGAGCATTACCAAACGTACAAGCCGCTAATCAAACAGTCTCGTGTAGGCGTGAGGGATGATTCCAAGTGCCGCAGATCGCTTACTATGATCCAATCAGATCACAGAGAAGGTCAGATAGAATTTACTTGTTTATGGTCAAGAGTGAGAGGGATGAGACGATGTGGAACGATGGAGCAATCGCGTCAGAAAATGGTCGGTCAACAAATGTGTACTGCAGTGACTCACCCTCAATTTATAGAATCACGCAGCATGTTACTTCAACTGATTTTAGTAGTTAAAGTGGATAATCAAAAGTTCAAGCATTCCGCAAGCTTCACATTTTGAACGTATCATATGTACGCATATCTCCTCCCACATATGGAATACTTGATTGATACCCCTCCGTCCTGTATAAAATGGAAAACGCCAAAAATGTCACTTTTTCGGTAGCCTGGTTCACATGGATTAGACTGCCTTAAACAGAAGGAACGGAACACAGTTGTGTAGCAACCCAACAAAAATAACTCTGTAGTATGAGATCGAACAGTTATTTTGAAGCCTAAACCATTTAGAAACAGCAGCGTTTTCTTTGTGGACTGTCAGGTGACGAACTAGAGCCAGTATGATGAAATTCAATGGAAAACAATCATTCATACCAAGTCGTTGTCCAGATTTGAACCCAAAGTTCAATCCCATACACCGTGAATTGGTTAATCCACACGTATTGAAACAGAAGATTATACAGGAGCAAACTATCAAAAATCAAACTGCGCATCATGCGATGCCAAGACTAAATGTAAATAAACACAATGTAAGACAGGAAAATTTTCGAATAAGTCACGAATAGTTGACATGCCCATTTTTAGTGCAGAACCTCCACAGTAATGGGCCATTTTTAAACAGCACCTGTGGCTGGACCGAGTTATACGGACGAAACAGAAGGACGGAAAGGATGACCGAGAAAGTGAGATAACAGGGGCATACATGTGTTCTTTACGATCAAACTGGATGGCAAACGTTAAACAGAACATGAGCAAACGAGTCAGGGCNCAGGGCAACTGGAACAGCTAGAATCAGTACATTGAATAGGGGAAGGTCAGGTAAAAGCATTCCCGACGTGGTATCGGCAAGATGAGCATCATTAAGGGGGGGGGCGAGAGGGAAGGGGTGGGCGAAAGTCTGATCAAATAAAACGAGGATCACGGCAAAAGAATAGTGCATCAAAATATTTCAACACAGTATCTGTGATCCAAGTGCGGCGGCACTACCAGGTTGTGGTGGGTTTCAGGCTGGTCTGCTGGCTCCTGTTTAGAAGCCATATAAGCCTAATATCGGTGTCGTGATAGAGATAGATATGACTGGCCCTTTAAAACTAAAGCCATTGACCCCCTCACTTCCGAGGGCGAGGGATTAATTCCCACTGCCTTGCTGTTCGCACTTGGTTGTGCACAGGACAGAGGTGCGCCCTCAAAATGAAAAATAAGCGCCGAGTGACACTGGGGACGTTTCTCATTCGAAACTTTCAATTAACTACATGATCATGATCACGGACCCAACTTATCCTTTCTAAGGAGCCAGTCGTGGTGAAGTAAGTAAGCAAGTTTGAAGAATTGCAAAAACGGACAGAACGTGTCCAGCGTAAATTAGTATCTTATGTCGAGTGGTATGACTTTTCAACCTTGTATGGCTGTGTTATGTATGGTGTAAATAGCAAACAGAAAAACAAGTAACAAAAAATACTCGTCGGAAACTCTGTTGTTGTTGTTGTTGTTGTTTGGACGCGTGTTATTTCTGCAGTGTGTTTCACGGTTTTCTTTTTTGGAATGTCTAGCGGATTTCGAAATACATCTCAGGATCCCGCTGCTATGAATCGTGACGGGGCTCGCAATCCCGGTTCCTCAATGAAATCGTGTGGAATCGCGTGGAATAAGTCAAACATATTTGTGTCTGCGACATACCAGAATAAATTCCTCCGTTCAGAAAAATAAGCCCAGATCAAAACGGTGATCAGTAGTGTTCAGACACTCAGATGTGACTCAGTATTTTCTGAAACCGCCGGTTGTTCACTCGATGGAATAGGATAGAACAATCGAGAGTATGAGATGCGAAACGTGGTTCCGACTGAGATCATGAAAACCACACTCACACACACGCAGTTTGTATAACGTCGTGGCTGGTGTCCGAAATGGGGCGTTTAATCCCACAGTGATATTCTCAAAAGTGGACTTATTGAAATGCAGCTAAGGAGCGTGACCAGGCATTTGTGTGCGTATATGTATATGCTCTATGGAGAGTTATAGACACCATCGATCAACAAAACCGATGCGTGACAAATCGGAGGTACAGATTGCACAGGAGCAAACAAGGGGAGGAGGGTGAGGGGGGGGTACGGTGCTCAATGAATGAGAATAATCAAGATTGCAGTCGATTTAGTGTTCTCTCAATATTTCCCCAGTAAATTTTGTCAGCTTTCAAAAAAAAAAACAGTTGGTACAAATAGAATTTGAAAAAAGCACAATGTAGGTTATATGCTTTGATCAGTTGACGAGAAAATGGAATTGAGGGCGTTTTATTTCAAAAGTTACTTACATCAATGTTTCCTGGTGTGGCAAGTCAGAAGTGATATAAAACTATTCTGAAAATGTACTGACCGTTTGTTTGTTAATTGTCATCCTCAACATTCCCATCACAAAAGTACAATCAGAACTAATGTGTATATATCTCCTTCCTGTTTTCAAACGGAAATTTCTGCTTTCTATGATCAATATTTATTACGTTTCAAGTTTCATTGTCAGATGAAAATCTTCATTTATTTGTTGGTGATTTCAATCCTGAAAGCATTTCTCCCCTGCTTCCGTTTGGTCTGCGTGACCTTTCAGATTCTCCTACCAGCGCACGTTCTGTGCTGGACAGAGTGATCATAAACTATCCTAACTTACCCTCTCGATCATCCCTCCCTTTCAAACTTGAACCATTTGGCATTCCAAAACAGCTACTCTCATGGATTCCTAACTATTTCGCAGAGATGTTCCAGTGAACCGAATTAGAAACGAGGACATCAAAACCTCTCGTTTATAATTCTGGTGTTCTTCAAGGTGCTGTTCTATATCCATATCGTTTTTCTCCCTTGATCAGTGATCTTTCGGTCTCAACCCCTGCGCACATCCAAAAGTCTGTTGATAACGTTGTCTTGTCTCAGACATTTTCATCTCCTTCGGAATTTCATTCTTTTACTGAAAATCTATCCCACATCTAACAGTTTTCTGACCAATCTGGTCTCAATCTTACCATATCTAAGTGCGTAGAGTGTATTTTCAGTCTTTCCCGCTCCTCATTTCCAACGAACTCTGCTACCCTCAACGGTAAACCTGTATCCAGAATGACCTCAGTCAAGTACCTGGGTGTCACCATCCACTACAATCTTCATTGGCGTACGCATATTTACAACTGTGTGGGAAAACTGATACGCTTGTCTTGTCAGTTACGCATACTCAGGCAATTCCGAATCCCACAGTCATTACTGTCATTTTTCGTTCATCAATGCGTTTCACCCATCCTACTCTATTGCTCCCCTGTAGTGTTTCCCAGGCTTTTAAAACAAGACTTCAAAACAAATCACCGTGGTTTGATGATCATCAGTCGTGCATCATTAATCCCAATCGGTTCATTGGTCACAGAACTCATTGATGGTCACGTCAACACATGTATTAAATTTGCTCATAAGATTCTAGATGACCCTCTTCATCCAATACACCCTGATCTATCGTCTTGTCGTTCCCATCCGTCCACACGCTCCTCATTTCGGCATCTACCTTCTTGCATTAAAATTTATAAAAATTCCCCCGTACCCTACCTGGACCGACTCCTAACCAAAGATCAACAGATCGTAAGTGAACTACGTGAACAGTTTTGTACATAAAACAAATATCACCGTGTTATATTTCATTATTTTTCATATTATTGTTATTATCATTTTGCGTGACAAACAGTGTACATTTTTCACCTAAATGTAAGCGTATATGCTTAAGCAAGTCATACAAATATAAAATACAAATACAAAGGATAATATTACCCTGAAATCCAGGGAACGATGGAGGCCTTTCTCTTCCATGAAATTCATTTCATATTCGGCAACCAGCAACATTCAACGACGATGTCGTGGTTGTTTTTTTTTATTCATACGTCTGACACTTGTTGTTCAGTTTGCTGGCATGAAGCGTTGGACCAGCCTCGTCCGATTATTGATCACAGTGCATGCGGGTGCGCGTGCAAAGTGAATGTGCATCTGGATACCGAAAAAACCTGCCCGGGGTCGTTTTATTTTTTTCATCCGATTGTAAAATTGTTCATTCAAAAAGTTAAACCCTTTTCAGAAAGAAGGAGGTTGGTAAACACTGCACGCACCAAGACTTGCTATTTTGTTTCGGACATCCGCGAATCAAGCTTTGCAATTAGGAGCTCCACAAGATGGGATCGGTACGGTTCTGGGCGAAATATATTTGAAAATGGATAGATAGCTTTGAAAGAACTCCATTACCGCACATTGTTATTCTTAGGTTACGGATGTTATTCCAAAATAAGACAATGGGGAAAGTTGAGAGGTGTGTCGAGCACGTTTTGTGGGGCGATTATGTAGTCATCCTAACTACTTGACCATCAATTTTTTAGAATTCGTCACAGGTTTCGGACATATTATTCACGTGACATGCGTCTGATTAGAATATCCCCTAAAAACAGGTCGGTTTTACACGCGTTTCACAAATTTATGATTCTGTTAGCCAGCTCACTTTACCGGTGCTTATTTGTCAAATAATAAACGACCTGAGCAACGTCGATTCTCATCATGTTTAGGTTCGTCAGATGACGAGAGCAAAATGTGTTTTGGTGTCAATCGAAATCATCTTATCAATATGCTATTACGCAACGGGTCTAAAACCGCTGCCCATGTGATGGCAGTGCTTTTGGAAAAGCAGCACGTGGATTGGGCTACCTTCGGTGCAGCAATCGATAAGGCACTACGAATACAGACCGCCAATACGAACGACTCGTTCACTTATCATGGATGCGCGTGGATTAGCACATTTTTGGCCGATGTGCTCACTTCCACGGTGCGACAGATACATTTGAAAGGTAAGTCAGACCAGTGTCTTTCTGGTATTTCCATTTTTCATACAAAGTAACGCACATTTGTGAGATACCAGATCAGCAACATATCATGAAAATAGTCGCCTGGGGAATTTCTAATTAACGGCATACGTCTAACGACATGCGCACTGAATGATAAAAACAGAGGAAGAACTACGGGAAAGCGGAGAGCTGAACTAATTACAAACTAATAAAAAATTAGGAAGAATGGTTACATAAGAGAATCGCACATATGCAAGGAGGATAAATATATAGCTGGACTGTTTGTGCCCCAACCAGACTTCCGTAAAGTTGAATAGGTGTCGTGAGATACTACTCATATTTGTGAGTAGTTTCCGTGCACTAGGAAGCAGATATTGAATCCGCACAGCATCTGTGAGTGAATTAAAGGATTTATTACAGCAGATACATAGAAACAAAACAAGACAGTGGAGAGTCTGTCGCGAAAATACCAGACAATTATTGCAAATTAGATATTTTGTCCCATGTCGCCTTCATCAGATGCTGTGGAATCGGAACAACGAGGTGTGGTTAGTTTCACGATCTGAAACAGGTTTGACTATCTTCTTCATCGTCTTACTTTTTTCTTGAAGCTAAATGTGCAAGAAATGCTCACGAACAACAATCCAAAGTTTGCTGTGGTGTGTGGAGTGTTACACTGATGAGCAAAACGCTCATGTACGGGTAGGATTGATAATCGGCTGGTGCAGGAGCGAGGAATCAATATTTCTGGACTACATAATTTGTTCCCCCCAGAGAATTCCCATGACGAACGTTTACAGCGAACTACTTACTTTACACATATCAAAGTTAATTCCGATTTTCAGTGAATTTTCGACAGAATAGTTTATATTCTCGTGAAGTTCTTGCCACATCAGACTGTCAGGTATAAACCCCTCTCGGTTTAGCTAAGCGGGGCAAGTGAGTTCGACATGTTTGGATGTTTAACAATGCAAAACTATCTGACACAATCCACATGTCACCGATAGGCATTAGAGACATCCTGTTTTCGATAGTCATCAGTTCGAACGGATATAAATGTTAGTGGTCACATCAGAACTACGCGTGCACCCGACTAACCTGGTAAGCAGATAGTTATTCGTCAATAAAATCAATGGCTTAATTGGCTCTGCAATTCACGTAGTTTGGAGCGGAAAATTCTCTCTCCGATTCGTTCGAACAACTTTGTTGAATGCACCTATACATATCTTCAATCGGTGCCCGAATGAGAAATTATCGCGTCCAATTGAAACGGACGAATTTGGTCCAACTTATTTCAATTTGGGATAGGTAAATTTATTAGGCAGATTGTTGACTGCATT